ATTCTCCAAATTTCACCAGAACCTTACGTACCACACAAATCCTCTTGCACAATCCCTATCAAGCACCTCCCATCCCTATAATCCTCTAAGAAGGTTGAAACGGCAATGGCCGACCTCGATCAATCTCCGCTGGCTTTAGTACCAGTGATGCGGTTGAGAGAGTAGCGCAGGGTTCTCCTGGAGTTCCCTCGCCTGATTGTATATAGCTTTGCATATGTTTTTTTTTTGCTTAGTTTTAATTTTTTTACTTTTTAGGTTATTTTATTTTATTATCTATTGTATATAGTTTTGATTATTATTTTGCTTCTATTTATTTCATATTTTTTTGTACATATAGTGTGAATGACATCCTTCCTCACTATAACCAATGTCCAAGAGACAGATTGTTGTAATACTCAATAAATAAAATTTTAAAAAATATTTATGTACATATTTACAACATCTATTTACAATTTTATAAAAATTGAACAGATAAGAGGTGATTGAACAGGCGGGATTTAGAGGTTGGGAGGGTATTGGAGCGACGGATGTAGGGTGAGATAGAATTCCATACATAGGTGGATCGAATAATAATGAAAGATCTAGCAGCTATTGAACAGCTGTGATGATGAATAGAGGTGGTGGGGACTAGCAGGTGTATGTAATGGGGTTAAGCTCCTTGTTACTGTCTAGATAAACTTTAAATTTATAGCTTACCTTTTTTTTTGATTAGGTAATAATAAGTAGAAATATCGCAGGAACCATCAATTATTAGAGAACTGATGATGTTCAATAATATTAATAAGAACTATATATATTCTATAGAAATAGCACCACAGTTATGACGTTAGAAAAATACTTGGTGCAGTGCGAGGGTCACACAAATTTCACTTCCCACCCTCTTCCTAGCAGAAGAAGAAAATAAGTTTTTTCAGACAGATGGGAAGTGAAAGTAAAACTTATAAACGCTACATTCTGGGTATTTTTATTTGTATAAGTACCTTTATATATACAAATTTTAATATGTATATCGCTGTAATCTATACAATTAAATATAAAATAATACCAACAATAGCATTTATGAAAACCGCATATGTATATTTATATAATATTGTTGGAGTCCTTATTATATTAAGCTCATCTTACGTACAGAAGCGTGTTCTAATCTTTCGGGCGAGCTCGGGTGAGCTCGGATGCGCTTGTATTCCTTGTTAAAGTGAAAACATAATTTATTATAAAATCGATTATTTTTGAACCTCTGTGTGTTAACTATTATAACCTCTGGGTGTGTTATAAGAGATTGAGTTTAACCGTATGTAGATTGCTGTACAATGTGGTACTTACTGCCTTTGTTGATTATAATGTAATGTGTTTTGGTAATTAAAAGTGTAAAAATTATCAGTGAGTGTTTTATTAGGAAATACCTAAACATTCCTTTGGTTCCTCAATTACCTATGACTCATTGTTAAGAGAATATCTTGGTTATGAGTTTTACAGACCATACACAGTAGAGATGGGCAGTACTCGATTACTTTCATGATTTGAGTAATTTTATTAGGAAAAAGTATCGAGTAGTTTCTGTACTCGGCCTGACAGCGGCGAGTACTGAGAGTACTCACGCAGCGTCAATCATGATTTAGTTAAGTACGGAAAATACTCTCGCTGTTATATCGAATTACAGAAAGTACTCAGCCCAATTTCTACAAAGAGTACTTTTTATTTTTCAACTACTCCGTCATTATTATAAAGAGTAAAAATGTTTTCTTTTATTTCCTTCAATAATAGCGGCCATATTCGACCTGACCAACCCCGAGCCCCCATTAATCGATATTAGACTAACCATCATGTTTTGTGGGCCCTTTTTTATAAAAATATACTGTCGGATTTTGGACAGTGCCCCCGGGCATCGAATTTTCATAACTTTTCCGATTAAATCGATATCAGGGTCGACTTTTATGTTTTGAGGGGCGCTTTTTATGAAAATGATATCGAATTTGAGATTGGGCCCCCCGGCCCCGACATTTTTTAACTTTTTGAATTAAATCGATATCAGGGTCGACTATTAGGTTTTGGGGGGCGCTTTTTATGAAAATGATATCGAATTTGAGATTGGGCCCCACGAGTCTGGAATTTTACTAACTTTTTGGATTAAATCGATATCAGGGTCGACTATTAGGTTTTGGGGGGCGCTTTTTATGAAAATGATATCGAATTTGAGATTGGGCCCAACGAGTCTGGAATTTTATTAACTTTTTGGTTTAAATCGATATCAGGATCTTTTAAAGTTAAAAAAAGTCGGGGCCTGGGGGTTTCAATCTCAAATTCAATATCATTTTCATAAATAGCGCCCTCCAAAACATAATAGTCGACCCCGATATCGATTTAATCCAAAAAGATAAAAAAAGTCGGGGCCCGGGGGGTCCAATCTCAAATTCGATATCATATTTATAAAAAGCGCCCCCTAAAACATAAGAGTCGACCCTGATATCGATATAATCCGAAATGTTACAAAAAGTCGGACCCCGGGGACACTATCTGAAATCCAACATCATTTTCATAAATAGCGCCCCCCAAAACTTAATAGTTGAACCTGATGTCGATATAATCCGAAAAGTTACAAAAAGTCGGGCCCCTGGGGCACTATCTGAAATCCGACAGCATTATCATAAAAGTCAAGTGGTGTAGAAAAAAAAAATAGTCCCCAAAGTTCATTAAATCCAAAATATTTTAATAATTCTTTATTTTATCGATTTACATTAATATCGATACTATTTTAAAAAACTATAAGATAACAATGGACTTAAATATGGAAGAAATATTAAATATTCTACTCCGGTAATTTTTATGATGAAATACTCGATTACTTTGAAAGTACTCAGAGTAAAATATTGCTGAGTAGATTTGAAAATCTAAGCAGTTTCCATACCTAATCAACCTCTATCTGCCTACCTTCCTTTATCCTCAGGAGTTGCACAGGGTTCAAGCATGTCTCCTCTTCTTTTCAGTTCTTATATTAATGACCTAAATGATTCAATTATCCATTGTTCCCACCACCTATATGCCGACGATTCTCAAATCTATTTATCCTTTTCTCCCGCTGAGTTATTGGTGGCATTTGCCAAAATTCAAGAAGATTTAGATCGAATTAGTGCCTGGGCCAACTTAAATGGATTACGGCTAAATGCTGCCAAAACTCAGGCCATTCTCATTGGTTCCAAGCCCCTTCTTAGATCCCACACCAACTTTCCCTCACTCTATCTAAACAACCACCCCATCACCTTCTATCCCTTTGTTAAAAATTTAGGCTTTCTCATAGATCAAACCCTTTCCTGGAATCACCATATCTCTCATATATCCCGCCGTGCAATTTCTACCCTCAAACTATTCCATCACTTCCGCCATCTTCTACCCAAAATACCCGTAGACTCCTAGTTTCCTCTCTCATCTTTCCCCACTTTGACTACAGCTGTGTGGTGTACGATGGCCTCTCGGTGGAACTGCGTGATAGACTCAAAAGACTTATGAATTGCTTCGTAAGATTTGTAATTGGAACCCCGAGACGCTCCCGTGTCTCCCACCACTACACTGAGTTAGGGTGGCTCTTCCCCTCCTTAAGAAGACAATATTTCCTTGGCACTTTCCTTTATCAAATCATTACCGATCATCGTCCTTCTTATGCCTACAACCTTCTCCAATTTAAGTCCTCAATCCATTCACTCACTACAAGATCCCGACCCTCTGACCTATACATCCCTTCTCATAGATCTGCCTCATTCCAAAATTCCTTTATAGCCCGCTCTGTCAACTTTTGGAATTCCCTCCCGATCAAAATTCGACATGCCCCTTCCCTATATACATTCAAAAACCTCCTATTCCAATTCCTGTTCCAAAAACAGTCTGATACCAGCTAACGATTAATATTATATATGTATTGTGTAGCAATCATATAATCATAACACTTGGTAAGAGATAGTACATGCATTTCCTACTATCGACGTAGGAATTTCAATACATACATTTTTTTTTTTTTTTTATTCAATTATAAGTAACTGTTTATTTTTATATATATATTCAAGTAAAGTTTTTTTTTTTTTTTTTGTTTTGTTTTTTATGAAATGAACTCATTGTATCTCTTTTTCGTTCTTCATTTCTCAAAGTGTATGTTTATGTTGTTCAACCCTTAAATATAATTTTGTTCATAGTTCAAGTGATTTGTTCATTGTTTTAATTGTTTTGTTCATAATTTTAAATGCTCTGTACATAGTTTTATCTGTATTGTATATAGCTTGTGCACCTAAGGTTTTCTTTACTTTTTATTTTATTTTATCAATTTTATTTATTGTTTCAACATTCAGGCCAGTAATATTCTATTATTTTGTACATTATTGTTATTCTGAAGGGACTTAGTCCCAGAATAAAGTTTTTTTTTCTATCTATCTATCTAAAATAGAAAGTACTCACGAGGACAGCTGATTACTTTTTGTACTCGTCAATCATGAGGTCGAGTAGTGATTGAAGTACTCGATACTCGAACCGGGAGAGTATTTGAGTAAATTACTCTGTAATTGTACTTTTTACTCAGAGTACAATTTTGCCCATCTCTAATACACAGAATGTAAATATTGAGCAAAAGTTGTATGAGCTATAATGCATAACTTTACTTGTTTACGATTTTAATTTTGATATGATTTATTTATTTTACAATGGTTTAATTAATTAAATTTATTTTATTTATAAATATGAATGGTAGACATAGACCACTTTGAGTTATTTCTCCTAAAAATGGCAGATATTAATATTTGACAATAAAAACAGTTTTTATCTAAAGTTTCCCTACAAATTGGTACACAGCGGTGATCCTGCGAGCTACAGGAACCGAACCGGTCAGTTTGGATGAATATCCTGTTCTTTAATATAAATTTAATTAATAATTTTTTTATTGGAAGAATAATAATACAATCTGCCACAATCAAGGGCAACTTTAATATAAAGGGAAACAATAATGAATGTTTGATAATTACATTTTCACCTAAGGTTCCTCGGGTAAATTGGACTTTACCGGCTGGTGCCATGGTAGGCATTGGAATGTGCTGGTAGAGCGGAATCCTACCCCAATCTGGAGGGAGTCCAGTTAATGCAACTTCTTCTGGAATCGGCAAAATGTTCATTAACTGGGACTTGTTCGTATCTGCCACCCGGCGGGCGTGTATCATCTCGTGTAATCGCCATTTGAACGATTCTTTCCGTAGGTTGTTAGTTCTGTAATACATTGCGTTTAGAACCTATAAACTAATAATATTTAATGATATCAATTTGAAGAATGAGCTCTATCATTTAGGATTTTAACTTATCCCAATTATTGGTAACTACAGAAATGATATACGATTTATGCACAACAATCAATTTAAAACAATATTAGTTATGTTTCTTAAAAATGTAATTAAACATTAATTCAGTAAGTTTTTTTTTTTTAATTTTGGAAATTTTTCTACCAAAAGTGGGCAAGAATTATAGTATCCGTTTGTAGCGCATAGAATATGACCAGACATTGTAGACATTTTGCACTACCCAATGAAGTTCTACGACCAAATCTAGAGTATGGATCCGTTGAAGACCACAGATTAGTTCCTTCTGCTTGGAACTGTTTTCTGCAATAGATCATCTATTATAGAAAGTATTTTCAACATTTTATTTTCAACTATTTCCTCCTTAATATATACTTGCCTTTATACATGTTACCACAATCCTCTTCTGACGTCATGACGCCTTCAGTAATCAGTGATCCAGCCAGTTTTACTTTTTCCAACCTCTCTGGAAATCAATCATCTAGGCTCTATACAAAATATCGATTGCGTGGTTAAAGAAAAACAGGTGAAAAAATAGGAGACGCTAGGGATGGGTCGTTACAGATTTTTAGTGTACCTGTTCCAATCCGTTCCATTCCCCAAACGGAACTATTCCAAATTACCGATACCGTTCCAAAGCCGTTACTCCAGAATTTACAACCTAGGCATGGGAGATAGTCGATAGTTTTCCACTATCGATGAAAAATTAGCGTTAGTATCGATAGTTTTCCACTATCGATGAAAAATTGTAGTATTAATAGTTCCGTAACTTCCCACCACAGACTAAAGGAAGATTTATTTGCACTCTATTCTTTGTTCATTTACTTTAAAATGTTAAATAAGCTTCAATTTAATTAATATAAAATATAACATTTAAAATTAACGATTATGTGAAATGTAACATTAATATGAATTAAAACATTTAAAATTATAAATTTTATAGTTCGATTTTTACAAGATTGAAAATCCAATTATATGGTTACAGTCATATTTCAAATAATCTAAAGAAAACAGAAAATTAATTAAAATTAAAGAAAAGAAACCTAAAAGTAACGTTAGTAAAGAAAACTAATTACAAGGATAAATGTTGGTGTCTAAAATTGCGATTTTTTTTCTCATAAAATTGTAGAAGTAATAGTAAGAAGTACTAATATATTTTTAATAATAATAACAAATTTTTAAAGGATTCGTTTTGGCTTCTTGGTTGCACCATCATTTATATCGTTCGAAACAGAATTATTAAGAAGAAATCAATATAAGTCAATTAATAATTACAGGCAAAGTATTTTACAAATTACAATATTGTTTTCATTTTTAAAAAATATATATATATTTTTTTTTATTTGTTACAATAAATTAGGCCATTGCTCACCAACATTTTATTATTACGCATCAATTTAACGTTTCGACCATACTAAGGGTCATTTTCAAAACTTGATGAGTCCTCCTAATATGTTCATCTTTAATGTTCTAATTAATAAGTTCAGTGAACATTAACTTGTCAATTTTTATAGGGGCTTCGCCCACGTCATTTCTGGAGGGACTGACTTATATCGTCCTGGTGGGGATAATCAAAAGGAGGGATCGTCTGCGCACGGCTTCCTCAACATTTAACCTCAACCTTTTATTGCTTTGGCTCTTAACGTTTTTCTATTGGCTTTATAGATCTTGTACATCTTTATCCACCTTAACCTGTCTTCTATGCCTACCTATATTGGGCTATTGCTTTCCAGTTTTCTAGATTTTTCGCAGCTCTGCAGCATCTTTATTGATCTATCCATCTGGTTTTAGGCCTTCCAATTAGTCTCTTGACTTCGATTGAGGAATTCAATGTAATGTAGAGGCTTCCTGATGGATTGTACCTAGCTACATATCCCGTTAATGATAACTTCCTGACATTCTGTCATGAGATTCTGACTGACCAATTTCAGTAAGAAGTTCTTGGTTTCTTTTCTCCATGCATTAGTATTAGTATGGATCCCAGATAGCTCTGATTATTGTTCGGAGGATTTTCCTCTCAAATCTTTCAATGCTCAGTGCTCATTAGTCCTAGTTTAAGAATAAGAATAAACCTAAACATTTAGCAGAGCAAAATAAATCGAATAAATCTAAAAAGTCAATTGAACAAAATAAATCTACCAAAACTAAATAGTCAGCCGAGCAATATATATCGCCACCTCAAACTTTAAAACTTAAACTGACTGTTATCATCCACTTCTTACTGAAGCTCAAATCTAGTCCAAATCCGACGAAGAAAAAGCCCAAATATTTGCTTATCACCTCTTTAAAACCTTTGATCCACATCCCGATATTCTTAACCCAAATCACCTTGGGTGTATTGAAGCAGAGCTGGATATCTCACTCCAAATGTCTCTCCCACCTAAAGCCGTCCATTCTTCAGAAATATCCAATATCATTCAAAGGTTACCTACCCGAAAAGCACCTGGACACGACCTAATTACATCCCAGATCCTAAAACTGCTTCCTCGGAAAGCCATTCTATACCTTACTTATATATATTGACTGCCACCGAATTTATCTGGGTGAAGAGATGACTCGCACAAACAGACACCTCTATTGGCTAGCCCGGTAGAAGAGAGCGGTGGGAAAAATCAAATATACGTGGTTTGCTTCTGGAAAGGTGCGGTGTCGAAAAGAGGACGGACATAGAGTCATCCTGATAGAACAGGCCTCGGATCTAGATGTATTTGACTGACTACCTAGAAGCCGTCAACCCCTTAGCCTCATGAAAATAGTCTTACTTCTTCTCTTAGTGCTATCTCTACACCGTCACTCACCAATCTATTTATTTTTAAGTACATTCTCGTTATTTATTTTTTAATGTATACACTTTTTCTTCACTTAGTTTCATGTACTTTTCAGTACTTTCTATTCGTTTTGTCTTCTCGCTACCAAACACTGACTGTTTCTCTCCAAATCCACTGTCTAGTTCCCTAATCACATGTCAGGTTAACTCTCAATCCCTTTCTGCCCATTATGACGAATTCCTGCAATACTTTACCCAAAACTTTTATCATATCATAGCAATATCCGAAACCAGGCTCAAACCCTATATTCCATCATCTTCAGTATCCTTGCCTAATTACATCCTGCTCCGTCATGACCGAGTAAACCGGACTGGCGGTGGGGTAGCCATGTTTGTCCACAATAGCCTAAAGACCCGAATCCTCGATTGCTCCCCACCTTCAGATCATCCTCATGTAGAATACCTCTTAGTAGAAATTCTCAGTAATACTTCTCCTATCCTTTACGCCGTGGTATATCGCCCTCCTCTCGTGCCATTTGACCCGTCCTTCGAATCAACCCTATTCAACTTCGTTCCCCTCTATCCCAGAATAATTATCACCGGTGACCTCAATACCAATTTCCTCTCAAACTCCAATGACAAATCCTATTTGGAAAATCTGTTTTTCTCACTTCACCTATTCATCGTTCCTTTTTCCTCCACCCACCACACCAGCAGATCTGACACTTGGCTAGACTTCTATATCATCGACTCAGCACAAAACCTCCTCTCCGCCTCTCAATTGCCACTATCCTTTCTTTCATCTCACGATCTGATACAAATAACGTATAATATCCGCACTCCTCCAATCCATCCTAGAACTATCACTTTCCGCCAACTGGATACACTTACTCGAGAAAAAATATTACCTGATCTAGTAACATTGGATTTGAATGGAATATATCATTGCTCCTCTGTCGACACCATGGTTGATATTCTCACCACTAATCTTCTCAATTTACTCAATACCCACGCTCCTCTCAAAACCTCCACCTTCCGTCATCGCCCTGCTCCTTGGATGTGTCAGGAAATTAAGGATCTGCAGAAGAGACGCGACGCTGCACGCAGACGCTTTAGACGGACTAGGCTTGCAGATGATTATCAAACATTCAGAGTGCTTCGTAATACAAACAAGGAGCCGACAAGCGAAAGCGAACTATTTTCATGAAGCCCTTTCCTCAGCTCCTGATATCAAATCAAAATGGCTTCTACTTCGTAAGCTTTCCCTCTGTGAACCTTCTAGATCCCCTTCCTCAGTTTTCCCAATATCACCTGATGACCTAAACTCCCACTTTATATCGGTTTCCACCTCTTCTTTACCTTCCCCTTCCGGCTTTTCTCCAGAGGTACCTTTTGTTATTAAAACACTTTATTCAGAAATATTACAATTTGTCACAGTTAAGGACACTTATAATAGAGTTCAGAGATTGCATTCATACCGTATATACAAAAATATAAATAAATAAAGTAATAACAAAAGAATAAGAAGAAAGAACAAAAGAGTAAAGAAAAAAAATAATATATATACACATAAGTAAATAAAAATAGAAATAAAAGTAAAACAAACACCTTATATAAAACATACATTATTTACAATTTGCCAGGTGATCTCCGAACCAATCCTGTCCCCTCCACATGTGGAGGGAAAAGGGAGGCTTAGGAGATCCCTACGCTTCTCCCTCAGCCACTTCACTGGTATTTTAAACCAGCGGAGGATGAGTAAGAGCGCTACAGCCACAGACACTCATGACTTGAGTGGAGAATCTGGCCATTGCTAGAACTCCAAAATATCCATATTTACAAAAGGTCTCGTGGCCACTGCCGCTTTAACCTACGAAGGGGATTGTAGGGATGGGTGGTGCTTGATAGGGATTGTACAACGGGATTTGGGTGATGAGAAAGGTTCTGGTGAAATTTGGAAAATTTGGCTGGGATAAGATCAAGAATAAATGGGATATTAAGGTCATGATGTAGGGTTTTATTGGTTACATAGAAGGGAGCATTGACTATTGTACGGAGGACTTTAGACTGAAAGGATTGAATGCGTTTGATGTTAGAAAATTTGGCTGTTCCCCATAGTTCTAGTCCGTAAGTCCAGATGGGTTTCAGTATTGTCTTGTAGATCAGTAATTTGTTTTCACCAGAAAGTTTAGATTTTCTATTCAGTAGTCTATATAGCTGGCCATATCGTCTGTTAAGTTCCTGTCTTTT